GAATAACATCGTGTAATAAAAATCAAACCCGCAAAATTATAATTTGCATGATTACTGGCGGTAGGACCTCTTGTGAGTCCGCACGGGTAGGTTCCACCACCCTGCCTATTTCTGCCGTGAAGCAGTAATGCGTTTCGGTTTTAAGGGTGGGCCAGCCGTTGTAACTATACTGAGACCATAGAACTTATATCTCCAGGTGGGTGGCGCATTTACGTTGTAGATGTCTATGGGCTCCAGTAACCACTTAACACCAGGTGNTGATTACTGGCGGTAGGACCTCTTGTGAGTCCGCACGGGTAGGTTCCACCACCCTGCCTATTTCTGCCGTGAAGCAGTAATGCGTTTCGGTTTTAAGGGTGGGCCAGCCGTTGTAACTATACTGAGACCATAGAACTTATATCTCCAGGTGGGTGGCGCATTTACGTTGTAGATGTCTATGGGCTCCAGTAACCACTTAACACCAGGTGGGCCGTGAACTCGTCCACCCATCTAAGCAATAAAAAAAAGTGTCATTTTCCAGAGAGGAAACAGAAGAATACTCTCGTATAGAGTACACGCGACACCGAATTACTCTTAACAAAAAATAATTGATACTCAATATGGAATACGGCTTATCTGGCACAGTCCTGCTCTGGTACATTCGTCACTCAAACACCAAACATCATAAATCATTTTCGTGTAACAACTATTTTTCACTTTCGCCACGATCATGTACCGACTTGATTTATTCAACTATTATCTTATTGTGTGTTACGCTGTGGCTCGGGATAAATAAAATTTCACCAAGTACAACTCAAAATCTGTATTCAACACTTAGAACACTTAAAATACAAAAAAAAAACACTTTAAAACTCTCAATTCGCTTGTTCCGCTTCGCTTCAGGTGATCCGTTCGCTGTTTCGCTTCGAGTACTTCCGATTACTGACTGACTGCGTGCCATCTCTACAACGCTTTTATAGTCGATACCTCATCCCTAGAATTATCGAGAATATTCCACATAATATCTCTAGTAGTCGTAGTTTCCGCTATCTGTCGATAGATGGCGTTGTACTTCTCGAGTGTTCTAGATCTTTCGATATTCGTTCGACTATTCGGCGATAAATGGCGTTACCCTTACCGGCGTAACAATATTCATTGTACGTTGACCGTACAAACGAGACGAATTTCTCTATAGAGATTTACATGTAAGCAAACCTACTTTGACTGTAAAAAGAAATACGCATAATATCTATTTAAGTTTTCTCGAACCTCGCCATATAGCCAGTTGGTCGGGGAATGCGAGGAACTTGCACTTTGGCTATAACTACATAATTTTGTACTGGTGGTAGGAGCTCTTGTGAGTCCGTACGGGTAGGTACCACCACCCGGGCTATTTCTGCCGTTGTAACTATACTTGAGACCTTAGAACGTATATCTCAAAGTGGTTGGCGCATTTACGTTGCAGATGTCTATGGGCTCCAGTAACCACTTAAAACCAGGTGGGCTATGAGCTCGTCCATCCATCTAAGCAATAAAAAATAATAATAAAAGAAATCGATTTTAAATTAAGGTAGGACCTGTTGTGAGTCCGCGCGGGTAGGTACCACCGCCCTGCCTATTTCTGCCGTGAAGCAGTAATGCGTTTCGGTTTGAAGGGTGGGGTAGCCGTTGTAACTATACTGAGACCTTACAACCTATATCTCAAGGTGGGTGGCGCATTTACGTTGTAGATGTCTATGGGCTCCAGTAACCACTTAACATCAGGTGGGCTGTGAGCTCGTCCAACCATCTAAGCAATAAAAAAAATAAAAAATTTAATGGGAATTTAGCAGACCTTAGCCTTCTTCTTGATGATCATCTATACTAATATTATAAAGAGGAAAGATTTGTTTGTTTGTTTGTTTCGAATAGGCTCCGAAACTACTGGACCGATTTGAAAAATTCTTTTTCCATTAGAAGCCGACATTGTCCCTGATGAACATAGGCTACTTTTTTAAAAAAAAATTTTTTTTTTTTTTGGTTTCATGTGTGTTTTAATGTTTCCGAAGCGAAGCGAGGGCGGGTCGCTAGTTTTAAAATAAAATTGTTGGAAAGAGAGTCGGAGGACGATGACTTAAATTTTGTTCTAATTTAAAACCTATTCAAATTAATGTAGTTACTTGTATGCGTCACAAAATTAATGCTGACGCATATTCTGGCCAACTAATCGTGCGTTTTATTTTGGTGGACGGGAAAACCATTTTACCAAAGTTTTAGTTATACTAGTGGTCCCGCAGTAGTCGAAATTCGACTATAATTAATTCGAATTGTAAGTTTGTACACTATTATGATTGTATTCTATACTTCTATAATCACAAATTTCGCCAAGACTACACTATAAAAAATATTAACAAAGACAAACAATATTTAATCTATTCTCAATTTGAGAACAGACGTCAAGAACAAAAGTTTGACAATAAATAGTATGCATGCGTGTGTGCGTCAAATACGTGGTATGTAGTGTGTGTAATGTTTTCTTTATTGATTTAAAGTATCACTTAAGCATTTAAAAAAAAAATTAGCATTGTGCATTTCTTCTCTATATTCTCTATAAGTGTGGAAAATTTGATACTCCTCCGTCCGCGCAATTTTCATAAAAAGGGATACAAAGTTTTTGCTTCACGTATTAATATATAGATAACCAGACTATACGCTTAAGCGGGTTCTATTCTATTCTAAGTGCGGGTTGGCTGCGAAAATGTCAGAGAATTTTTTTAGGTATAAAAAAAACAGTACTTCGCAAATTCGGCCCTACCGTTCGCAAGTAAATATTTTTAATTAATTTACACAGTTTTAATGGAAGGAACCCATAGGAGAATTCCAATTATGACTCAATAAAGATTTCTTTGTCCATTAAAGAAACAAAAAGATAAAAGATCTTTTTGCCTACGTTGTAAGATATCTTGGTAATTATTATCCGAAATTCGCCTTAAGGGCCCAATTATATTTTTACTTGAATAATTTCATTTTCTCGTTTTCTTTTAAGCATTAAAATCGTGTATTGTGTAATGTATCTTGAAGGTATTTTTAATGTTGTTGATTGTAGTAAATTTTAATGCGTCTGTATTTTGTATTTGTATTTTTCAGTTCAAAGAATTTATATGTTTATTTTGTGGTATTTTATGTTGAAATCGTTTATCATTTTGGTCTTTATGTGTGTATTTTTGAATAACATTCTAAGAAAGCGTAACATGTCTATATTATATGATTGAAACTACTTTTTGGGTTAATTTTATAATAATTCTTTTATGTTCCACAATATCTAACGCTTCGAATACTTCAATTTTCCGGACCGACAAATACTACGCGGAAAGGCCGTTCTATTAATGAAATTAATACTCAGAAATAATGTCACGTTTTTGCGTCCAAACGCTCTCTTAAAATATAAATAGTTGTTGTTCCAAGAAGGTTTGACAACTTAATAAAAGTCCAAAAATAGTCCAGTAGCTTCAGCTACGATTTAAGCATTGTCACTTAATTAGAATGTTTGACAACTTAATAAAAGTCCAAAAATAGTCCAGTAACTTCAGCTGCGATTTAAGCATTGTCACTTAATTAAGTCGGTAAGAAAGCTGTATGAAATTTGAGTTTTGTATTTGCCTATTGTTAAGCATTTTTATTGGTAGCGCATAGGTTTTGTGTACACACAGGGAACAAAGATTAGACAACACAATTGAGACTTCAATCTTAAGCCTTAAGTTAAGTGATTACAGTCTAAAGTCGCACGAGCCAATTCAGAGGCAAAAAACCACGTCCCCTAAACTGACTTTTGCATTGCTTAGATTAGTTCTGGACTTACTCAAGGTTCACCGCAGGTTCATCTGTTACCGGAGCCAACTTCCACCCAATTTTCCAAAAAACAGAAAATAACTAATAGACGAATGATGAGCATAAATAATTACTAAAACAGCATAATGCTAAAATTAGACTCTGAAGAATATAGGTACTTACAGTGTCAGCAAAGAAATGAAAGAAAATCATAGGATACGTAAAAAAATAGAAATGTCAAATCAGAATTGTATTCAAGTATGTATGTATCAAAAGAGAATATTTCTCTTCTCAGATGTCAAAATATCAAAGACTTGTCACTTGAATGCTATACATATTATTATATTAATAGTGGAAGCACCTGTTGTTTCCCTGGGTATTCTATCGTTTTTTAAGTACAACTTTGCGAAGATGATTACTGTGACGGGTACAGTCATGTACAGGAATGTAATTTTATGTATTTGACAGTTGATTTGTGTCATCGTGAGAGAAAAAATGCGTTGATAAATATACTTTTTTTCTGGTTGGCTGGAATTGGAGTGTTTTTGTCAAATGGAAGATGAAGATTGGTTTTATTAAGTTTCTGAGATGATTTCTATTGAAGAGTTAAGTGAATAAGTAAAGAAGTTATATTATACCACTCTGGGTGAAGGCCTAGCTTTAAACTTTTAATGTTTGCAGAAACTTTAGAGGCTATTATCTAAAATGTACTGAAAATGTAAGAAAAGCTATTTAAAATTTTGCTAAAATTACATACCGAGAGTCTGCTAATTATTTGATTCTAAATGTGCTCTAAGGGTATCTTTTTTTTTTATTGCTTGGATGGGTGGACGAGCTCACAGCCCACTTGGTGTTAAGTAGTTACTGAAGCCCATAGACATACACAACGTAAATGCGCCACCCACCTTGAGATATAAGTTCTAAGGTCTCAAGTATAGTTACAATGGCTGCCCCGCTCTTCAAACCGTATCTAAGGGCCTACTTTGCGGTAGGCAGCGGCTTGGCTCTGCCCCTGGCATTGCTGAAGTCCATGGGCGCCGATGGTTATGGTTATCGCCGAGTGGTTACTCACGATCAGGGCTGCCTACAAGGGCAATAAAAAATATATATTATTTAAAAATAAAAAACAGGCATATGTTGGTGACTGTATCCACTTTTATATCCAAATAAAAAAATCGTTCATACGACCGAAATCGAATCACTTTTACTCCATCATGGCGGACACGTTCTCTGCTTTTCACCGAGTTCTATCCTTTGCAGGAATATCAATCTTCAAAGAAACCAATTGGAACTCAAAATTCTGGTTCACCGTCCAAATATTCAACTTTATCATTGGACTACTTTGTTTCCTCTTCACCTCTGGTTTCGTAATTAGCAGTTCCTCTGACCTTCTTCTTTTCATTCAGGGCGCTTGTATTTGGACCACCGGTGTCATTATGACAATAACACTTGGAATATGCTTAGTTTTTCGCATCCAATTCAGAGACTTTCTTACCGAGATGGCTTTTAGAGATGCAGCATTGGATATACCTATCGTTGATTACATTTTTAAGGTCAATAATGGCAAGAAGATGCTGCAGCTTAAGAAATTGGTTGTAGAGTCGCAGAAAGATTTGTTAAATTATACTAGTTTACTGTTGAAGATATATGTAACGGGAGTGTGGCTTTGTGCCACATTGTATCTCTGTAGTCCAATTTACAGTATGCTTGTTAGTGAAGACAAATCTTTGAGGCTGCTAGGTAAGTAGATCACTTTGAGTACATTTTTAATTCTATTAAAAATAATAATAGCAAATATTATTATTGTTTATTTAGATGTAAGACTGATTCAGTGGTGCAGTGGTCAGTGCTCTGACTGTTGCGCCGAGGATCGTGGCTTCAAAAATTTGGGTTCGAAATTAAAAACAAAATTTATATTAGAAATGCGAAAACTAAAAGTTTTGTAATTCCTTCTATTGTGATGAAGCTATCGGTGTATGTAATTTTTTTTTCAGCATTCGACATGTGGTTTCCCTGGAGTTTGGCGGATATAAAAGTGTACACCTTGTCATTTATATTCCACGCATATGCCGGTTACTTATGTTGCATAGGTAAGTTTAATGTCGTGAGTGTCTCTTCAAATCATCTTGTTTTTAAGGCCATGAATAGTATCGGCTGAATTATTTTCTTAAATTGCATATGATGATGGATTGTGATGGGTCTTCAAATATTCGAGGTTGGAGGAATTATATTAGACATCATTGGGATAGATAGAAATAAGCCCTACTCAAAAGTAAATGGACGAATTATGTCAAAGTAAGGATAAAATATAAAGCATCTCATATTTAAAGACTGTCACATTTTATTAATATTCTTTAAAGGAGAGCATTTGACCGAAGGAAATATAGATAACGTTGTCAAACTTTTAAAGTTGTCGTGGTCTAAATGATAAGATGGCCGGTGTTCTCGTATCCAATGCGACTGTGGTCGATGCTCAAATACACGTGTAGAGATGATCACTTTAAAGAAAATACGTACATCACATAATATGTTCACAAAATTTTACAATGTACATCCGTTAGCATCGTCTTATAAAAACGAAGACCGAAATTTGTTAAATCTTTTTTTTTATTACTTCGATGCGTGGACGAGCTCAAGGCTCACCTGTTGTTAAGTGGTCACTGGAACCCATAAGCGTCTACAAAGTAAATGCCGCCACTAACCTTGAGATATTTTTTTTCCTACCTAAGCTCATAGCCTTGAGAGGCTATTTCAGCGGAACCTTAACTGGTAGGTGAGCTTACGGGGCTCAAACCTGACGACGTTGCTAACACGAACCCTAGCAAGAGTCGTGCTTCGCAGAATCTACCACCGGATCGGAAACGCGACCCACTGAGAAGATCCGGCGAGAAACTCAGTGCGCTGTGTCTGAGGGTTATCACCTTGAGACTTGAGGTCTAAAGTCTCAGTTTTAACCTACAGTAGAGTATATACAACAATCTCACTTTTAATAGGGTGTATTGTAAGAGCTCATACGATCAATCCCATTATGCCTATTTCTGCAGCGAAGCAGTAATGTATGAAGGATGGGAGAGCCGTCTTAATATACAATACAGATTTTCGCGTGATGTTTCACGATGGAGGCCCCCTTTTCTACACAATAAAGAGGAAAAGAATCGAGCTGATTCTTTTATTAAATCGATAATCCATTAGTCGATTCTTTGACTAGATAAGATACGTTTTTAGCTTACCCCGGTCTTCAATCAACGATAATTCTACTGGTCGGTCAAATTATTCGTCAATTGAGGATATTAAATTTCATTCTACAACACTTGAACGAGCTGGTGCTAGAGGTTAACCAACAGAAAGATGAAAAATGGCAAAAATCCTGCACTACGGTCCTGTCTCAGTGCGTTAAACATTACGTAAAAATTAAAAGGTAAATAAGTATTGCTTAGGGATATATTTTTTTTTTATTGCTTAGATGGGTGGACGAGCTCACAGCCCACCTGGTGTTAAGTGGTTACTGGAGCCCATAGACATCCACAACGTAAACGCGCCACCCACCTTGTACCATAAGTTCTTAGGTCTCAAGTAAGTTACAACGGCTGCCCCACTCTTCTAACCGAAACGCATTGCTGCTTTACGGCTGAAATAGGCGGGGCGGTGGTACCTACCCGTGCGGACTCACAAGAGGTCCTACCACCAGTAAAACTTAAGTATAACATAATAAACTTTTAATTATGTTTTAGATTCAGCAATCGCCTAAATGTAATATGCCGCCCTTTCTATTTGGCGTTGATTCTTGTGGCCATTATCCTTGTTTGCATGTGTTCGGTGAAGATTGCTATTTCTGTACGTATATGATGCAACATTTTCTTTATATCAATTAGTACTTATTTTTGCAATATTATTATTTAATTGGCTTCTATAAATTATCTGACGTCTATGAATTAAATTCATCTAAAATAAAAACTAAATAAAGATACCCGCTAACCGCTTCCCATTTTTTTAAATGTAGAATCGATCACCCAATAGAACTGGTTAGCGACAAATCTAAATTTCAATCATAGCGCCTTCAAACTTAGCAACGGTATAAGTTAAGTTATATAATGCTGTCAAATTAATTTTTAATTGAACTTTCAAAATAAATCAATTTTTAGTACATTCACATACTCATATAAAATTGGTACAAGACATATATTATCTGATTTTTTATTTTTTTTATTGCTTAGATGGGTGGACGAGCTCACAGCCCACCTGGTGTTAAGTGGTTACTGGAGCCCATAGACATCCACAACGTAAATGCGCCACCCACCTTGAGATACAAGTTCTAAGGTCTCAAGTATAGTTACAACGGCTGCCCCACCCTTCAAACCGAAACGCATTACTGCTTCACGGCAGAAATAGGCAGGGTGGTGGTACCCACCCGCGCGGACTCACAAGAGGTCCTACCACCAGTAATTGAAATACTTCGACAGGATTTTTAGTTATTTATTGAATTCTGCAATCGACTTTTACTAATTACTAACTTACTACTTACTTAATTACTACCTCCAGAGTGTCGGGGTCATTAACTTATTTAATTACATTTAGTTCTCGTCGAGGATCGAACCGTGCAAGACCGGAGTTAAAACTTCTTAATTGCAAGTATAAAAACTGGAAGCGCCACTTTCTTTCAGGATAAGCTGAGTCCGGATACGATAAAGTATTATGTGCACGAAATCTGTTTTATCTTCGTCGTGTTAATGTTTTGTTTATTGGGACAGCAAGTCGATGACGAAGTGAGTGTTAAATCTATCTACCTCTATAATATAAAAATGAATTGCTGTTCGTTAGTCGCGCTAAAACTCAGAACGGCTGGACCGATTTTGGCTAATTTTGGTCTTGAATTATTCGTGGAAGTCCAGAAAAGGTTTAAAAGGTGAGTAAATATGAAAATGCTCGGAATTATATAAAAACAAACAAATTTGTTTTCCCTTTGATGTGTCCCCTGTCAGAGACAAAGTAAGGAGTGTTAGCAACCCGGGAAGATTTTCGATATAGACATACCATTAGCAAATTGCAGTTGGTGTCCAGCACGCACATTCGCATTATCCAGTGAATCTTTCCAATAACTACTGGAATATATAGGGTTGGCTATAAATTTACGTATTCATTGTAGAAATCATAATACGCAAAATTGTTTTTTTATTCCAGTGTGCATCCCTAGAGCTTGCCGTCACCGAGAAATGGTATATTTTCAATCGCGCTCACAAGCAGAATGTGCGAATATTCAAAATGGCGCTCAGTCAAAGAATGCCTATTTACATCTTCGGTACTATTACCCTATCACTGCCAACATTTACTTGGGTAAGATGGTAGTTGTTTATGTCGGAAGCAGGAAAGATTTTTTATTTTCAACACAAAAAAATGAACCACGAAAAGGGTAGAGAAATTTACTTGCTCCTATCATCCTTTTTTATTGCCCTACAGGCATACGATCCACCTGATGGTGAGTGGTTACCGTCGCTCATGGACATCAGCAATGCCAATGATATAGTCATGCCGCTGCCTACTGTACCTACTGTACTCTCCTACCAGCAGTCTTCAGTCTACTCGTGATCATGGCGAGATATAGGGAACTTATCAAATGTATAAAAATGTGGTCATAATCCATTAAAGAGGGTGTAATTATTTTGAATGAAATAATAATAATAATTAATATGTTGCAGTTCATCAAAACTGGGATGTCTTTCTTCACTTTGGTAATGTCCGTTTTAGAAGAACAATAAATCTCAAAGACACTGAAACCGTTAAAAATACAGAAGAATCACTTTGGAAAATTAATATAGTTTAAATATAAATTATCACAAATATAATGTACACATGTGAACAGTGATTTTTTTAGTAAAAGTTTTCGTTTGAGTCCTAATTATTTGTATTCGAATATTACTCATCGGAGAGTAGGTAGCAGTGCGCTTAGTGCGAGTTGTTTAACGTTTTCGATAGCGTAAAAGTTAACTCATATTTGTATGGAATGGGATCGTTTGCGTACGTTTTTTTTTTTTATTGCCTTTGTAGGCAGACGAGCATACGGCCCACCTGATGGTGAGTGGTTACCGTCGCCCATGGACTTCAGCAATACCAGGGGCAGAGCCAAGCCGTTGCCTACCGCTTAATACTCTCCACAAGCCTCGTTTGAAGAAGGACATGTTATAGCGCTCGGGAAACACCGTGGAGGGGAGCTCATTCCATAGCCGGATGGTACGTGGCAAAACCGATCTCTGGAAACGTTTGCCGCTAGGGGCGCTGTTCCAACTGCATACAAAATTGGCTTAACTTTTACGCTATCGAGAACGTTAAGAAACTCGCACTAAACACCCAGCACTATTTGTAGTGCGATAATATTTACTTTTAATAGGGAAAACTGTGAGCCTGCACGTATCATGCATTTCGATTACAATTTTACTAATATGTCATAAGTTATTTTTTGGCATTAACGTTGTAGTTTTCATGGGCTCTTTTGACCACTACCGGATGGGGTTCATTTAATTCCGGGCGCCGAACCTCCTACAATTTTCCCATGTTTAGGGGGCACGCGGGACATCTGGGATTGGTGGCGGATGTTCGTAATACCTATATATACGCTCGCATTACCTATGCTATTGTTGAATTTTTCGTATTTTCTTTAGTTATCACGAATCGTATCGACTGCTATTATATGCAGTTTTTGTTGTTGAAAATTTTGATGTGAAACATCTATAGCCGCACGTAAAACCGATTTCTGGCTATATGATGGTATATATATACAGTCTATATGCCGTGTGTGTACGATGTGGCGACGCGTCGCCATGCGCAATCGACTGTGCGATTCTCTCCCACTCGATCCGGCGTTAAGCCATCTCTCTCGCTACACTGAGCTCGGATACCTATAGTGTATACTCCGTAGTGTATACAGTTTTGTTTACTACAGTACACATAACCTGTGTTTTACTTGAAAACAAATTATTTTTTCGTAATATTTTATTTTATCATTATGACATATTTAGTTCCTAATTATCACAATCTGTTCTTTTCTGTATATTAGTTTTACAAAATAATGTCGATGTTTCACATCTGCCAGGCGTCCCGTGACTTCTCACATTTTTTACAGTTCTTTTTGACACTTCGGCGAAAGCTCACATTGTAGCATTGACGCATGACGAGTTATCTTGCTAGGGCCAGTGCTAGCAACACTCCCGGTTTGAGCCCCGTGAGCTCATCTACTAGGTCGGTGAATCTAGAATAGCCCCCCGCGGTTACTAGAATAGGTAGGAAAAAAAAGACGTGTTAGTTTTGGTTTTGAAATGTTTCTTTTGCATACATGTAGGATTGGTAAGAACGGAACGTATGAAAATAGTGTGGAACGGAGCGTTAAGATGTGAGTGAGAGAAAACGGAAAGAAAGAGAGAAAAGAGAATGACAGAGAAAAGTAAGATGGCGACGACGGTTAAAAAATGATCAAGGCGTAATAAAAGTGTTAATTAATTTTTAATAACAGAAGATTTTGGAACTGCGTAACTTTTATTTTATGCGCGGCGATCCCTATACTACACACATTCCCAGACTGTCACAGGACAGCACCGTTCCACTACTATTTTATAGTATACTATCCTAGATATCAAATGCAGCCACAACTTCATCTACTCTATCCTATAGAGCGGTGAATTCAATCGGAAAAATGTAAATAGTATCCAAGATTGATTCAGCGCGATATTGCACGTCTGGAACAATAATGGTTTTTGATAGTAGTTCTTAGCGGCAGAAAATAGAGTTCATTTTTGAATGGCACTTAATAAAAATGTCATTCTAGACTTTAAGTAGACGATATAATGAAGCATTTTATGGTGAATGATCAATGGATCCGCGTCCAATAAAAATTTCTAGAATTTACGGATTTTTGCAAATGAGACACAGGTTCCATTTTAAATCTAAAGTTATGGGACCACAAACATAATGAAATTATTTATTCTGTTTATTTTCTCTTCCAAGCCCCCAATTTTTGAATATTCTCTAGTGTTATATGTGTTGGTTATAGGTATGTGTAAAAGATAATGGAGAAGAACTATGCGCAGAGGTTTTTACTGGAAGGGCATTTAGAGCCCTAATTGATAGGTGCCCTCTTTTTCTGGGGTGAAGCGTTCCGTATTGGATTTTTCAAGAGCTGTGAGCTGTTTTACAGAATAGTTAAAATTACGATATTATGTTCTAAGGAGGTTGGCCGCCTTCAGCAAGCTACAAGAGGGCTGTGAGTTAACTAATGAACAGAGCGGTGGTTACAATGTAACATTAATTTTAAAGTATGACCAGGGAAAGGGTCACATTTAAATAGAACAAGAAAAGCACTTGCTCGCGGAAATTCAAGTTGCCATAAATTCGTAACTACAAGGCCAGTCTTCGCTGAGCCGTGCTCAATTTTATTTTCAGCCTCAACGCATTGGGTAATGATGATTTTACGTCTCTGCTGTGCAGCGGAGAATATTTTCGTAATACCGCGCATATTATATTGGTATTTTATAAGTTTATTTGCAAAGTTACCGTCAATGATATCTTGTTAGACAGTGCGAGTAATATCAATAATAAGATTGGCTTGTTTACGGTAAAAAATTATATTTAAAAAAAACTAACAAAATACGCTTTCATAGAAAATCCAGCTAAAAAATAGAAAATAAATTTTAATAAATTTGAATTAAAAATAGTGTAAAAAAAATTGATTTTATTGTAAAAAAGCGTGGACCACTTGTGAGTCCGCGTGGGTAGGTACCACCACCCCGCCTATTTCTGCCGTGAAGCAGTAATACGTTTCGGTTTGAAGGGTGGGCCAGCCGTTGTACTGTATAAACTGAGATCTAAGCACTTATATCTCAAGGAAGATAGCGGCATTTACGTTTTATATGTCTATGGGCTCCGACAATCAATTAACATCAGGTGGGCTCTTCCACCAATCTAAATCTTATCAACTCATTAACGAGAGGTCTTATTTCCAAAGTATAAAACCGTATCCTTTTGGAATCTCGCACGATACATTGCCCTAATTAAAACAAAACACAAACCAAAATGATGTTATTGTTTCTCTTCGATCGGTTCCTCACTGCTGAGGATCGTGACTCCGTCCGATTTCGTCAACCAACTGTCTCCATCGATCCCGCCCTGCAGCCCGGTGGAGTGCGTCGCTGATAGGTATCCCCAGTTCCTCCGCTATTTGGTCCGACCATCGTTTGGGACCTTTAGGCCTTTTTCCCTCTATTTTACCGGTCACCACAAGGCGTTCCAAATTGCTGGTATCCCTACGTGCAACATGACCAAAATACCGCAATATTCTTTGTAGGCAGATTGTGGATAGAATTGTTTACGTCGATCAAAATATATATATGTCGTGGATAACGACTTTTAGTAATATTAAGACGGTGGTTTTGATTATTATTTTAAATGATGAGATGTTGTTTTGATAAATATCACAAAATGAAGGGTAGACTACGTAACGCCACAGTATAAAATGGCGGTACGTGGACAGAGTCGTGGCATTCCGTGTCAGACAGTCATTCCGTCCGTCTCAGTCAGTCNATGTCAGAATGGCCGTGTCGTGGATAACGACTTTTAGTAATATTAAGACGGTGGTTTTGATTATTATTTTAAATGATGAGATGTTGTTTTGATAAATATCACAAAATGAAGGGTAGACTACGTAACGCCACAGTATAAAATGGCGGTACGTGGACAGAGTCGTGGCATTCCGTGTCAGACAGTCATTCCGTCCGTCTCAGTCAGTCAGGCAGTCGGTCTGTCGTTATGTGCAACGAAACTGTCGGTTTATCCTGTCATTGTGAAAGTTGTGTGTGTTGAGTTTCAATAATTATTATTGAAAAGTTTTATTGACTAAACTGAGTTCAATCGAATACGAGTGATGACGAAACTACCGCTCAGCCATCCCTGGCGTGAGCCGACATATATATATATATATAAACCTCGATATTTATTCAGACAGAACCAGAATCGATTCGAGGAAATAGTGTACACGAAGGAAAACATCTCCCCTATAAGAATAAAGGGAAAAATCATTTGTTTTATTCGGATTATTTTCTTAGTCGATGCTTCCATTTGTGTTAATGGAATGAACTCGTTTATATGGGGTGATATCTCCATAGAGCAAAATATTCTTGTCTTTCTACGTACGTAATATTTTTACGTTGATAGAATCAATTTATGATTTGTGTCGGCCAAAATATCACTAATTTTTTTTTATTTTTTAATTTTTTTTTATTGCCGTATAGGCAGACGAGCATACGGCCCACCTGATGGAGTGTGGTTACCGTCGCTCATGGACGTCAGCAATGCCAGGGGCAGAGCCAAGCCGCTGCCTACCGTTTAAAATAACTTAATAAAATAATTGTGCTTAGTTAGTAAGGTAGTTCAAACGTACACTTTTGCTAATCTTAACTTATCTTATACCTTTAAACGAGCAATTCTTGTATATTAATATATACTTATATAATCTGAATCTCGGAAACGGCTCCAACGGTTTTCATAAAATTTAGTACACAGAGGATTTTGGGGGCGATAAATCGATCTAGCTACGATTTATTTTCAGAGGATGTTGTTTTATTCGTGTTTTCAATCATCAACTCTTCCCGACATCTGTTGGCGAATAATAATACTATTTTTCTTAATTGAGGGCAACTAACCATTTTAAAGACACAACAAGATGGCGTCATCATCTAGTTTTCTTTTAATAGAAGAAGTCCTGACTTCCAGACGCGCCTAATGTTCAAATCGCGGCAAGGTGTCATTCTGCAAGGAAATACTTATTTATCTAATACGTATTCCCTATCGAATTTCATGTAGGAATAATAACTTTGCAAATCATTGTATTCATTGATGGTACGACATATAGACATAGGTATAATTTTTTTTTTTTTTTTTTTTT